ACCTTTTAATTTACCAAATTAATCACAGAGCATTGGTCGAACATTTCTTGAACGCTGGCATTGTGCTGCACTGCTGCTTCTCCGCCTCTCTTCTCTCTCCATCCCTCTGAATAGATTTCTGGGCGCAGAAACCGGTATTAACATGGGGTCGATGTTCGGTGACTGGCCCTCCTTCGACCCTCACAACTTCAGCCAGCTTCGACCTTCTGATCCCTCCAATCCCTCTGTGAGTATAATTTCAACTTCTTCTCAAAGCCATACCCATGTCCATATCGTTCTTGTTATTATTCATGACAGTAGCAAAAAGCTATCATCTTTTTGGCTTTTGGGTGTGATTTGATAAATATTTTTTCAATTGTCAATCTATCAAGCAATGCCCACATGCAGTTGAATTATCTTGTTGTGGATTTGGATAGAGTAGTGGTGGAAAAAAGGTTACCTTTTTTTGGAGATCTTTTCCCCTCAGGTAATAAGTACACACCCTTTTATGATGTTGTCTGTTTAGCAATTTTTGAGATCTTGGAGAAGTTCAATTGGTAGTTGCTGAAATTCTCTAAGGGAACCTCTTAGTAAGTTTCTGAAATTCAATTGGAAGTTTCAGATTTTGAGTAAATTCTGCTTGTCCTACAATTAATTGTCTGCCACACTGGTCTAGGGAAAGGATTCAGTTAAAGATCTGCTTGGGTTGTAATTGTATAGTTTTAATGTTTGTAGGGGTGATTCATCATTCATTAGAGCCTGTGGGATTTGTGGGAATTGGATTAAACTGGGTGTAATTATAGTTACCTTGCTTAATGCAACATTGAGGTAGATTTTCTGCTCATACAGTTTTCGACCCCAAAAAAGGGTAAAGTTTCTACTCAACAATGACTCCTAGTATCCATGTGCTAAATTGAGAAAGATCTTTAGCCATGTGAGCAGCAGGAACATTAGTTTTGCATTTTTTTTGCTCAGTATAATTTGCTTAGTTTCCTAAAAGTGAGTGGTAACTACGTTTTTGTGCGCTTGAATCTTCCATAAAGGACTCTTGATTTGTAGAAATTAGCATCTAAGTCTGTGCTTTAGAAGCTATCAGGTCTATTGTGTACCTGATTATTTAACTATGGTCAGGAAGGCTGATTTTTTTTTTTTTTTTCTGTTGAGAGGTAGTCCCTCATTTCCTTGTCCATGAATATGTGGATCACGGAATCAAAGAGAAATTGTTTTCACCCTCTTGGTGGTATCTCAAAATAACATGTTTTTGTGTAAAAACCAAAACAACTTTGACATGAAATGTCATGTAGAAATGGATTTTAAAACTCCATCCTTTCCTTTATTTTCTTCATACAGAACCCTTACTTATGATCCATCATCCAAACTCAACTCAACCTTAGGTATTAGAATTCATGCGGCCCTGGACTGACTGAGTTTGTATTGCAACTGTCCCAATTTGAGTGAAAAATGTAGTCTTCAGGTCTGTGAGAAACTGGTTATTTTGCTTGTCTGCTTTATGAGTATGTGAGGTCTCTATAATCTCAGAATTATTAAGCATTTGAGAATTCTTCTGTTTAATATACTCTATTTTTTACTTTTAAATAGAAATTGACACCTGCCACTTATCGTCCTACTCACAACCAAACTGTTCCACCACCTGATCAAGGTAATTACATTTACTTTGTTACTTTCTGGAAACTGGTTTGTTTTTTGGGTAAAGTGAGATATCCTATTAAATTGTCTGATGAATATGGTAACTTTGGCCTCTCAATGCTATTAGATTACCATGTCATACTGATATAACTCTTGATTAGATAATGTTCATCATATGTCTTACTTGGTGATAGTTAAATTGCTTGGTTGACTTACCATGACATTAACCATCAACCAAAAGATGGTGTGATTGATTGGATATCGAAAGAAATTTTTGTTTCACTATGAGCTATTTGGAATGGAAATTTTTACTGTTGGCTCATAGTTCAGTTTTTTGTTTTATCAGTGTTGAAATTGTATGTGATCTAGAGAATCTAGATTGCTTTTGCTAAAAGTAAAAGGAGAGTGTTGATGATTGACATTTTTTGTGTAATCACTCGTTGGCTCTAATAAGCCTAGAAATGTTTTCATCTGGCTTACTTGTAAAACTTTTTGAGCAGTTATTACTACTGAAGCCAAAAACATTCTAATAAGAAATATCTATCAGCATGGTGAGAAGATGGTGAGTAATTCCTCTTTTTTTTACTTGTTATAACAGCAACAGCACATATAAAACAATTTTTTTGCATTCTGTTTTGATTTCTCATTGCTTTTCTCATTGCAGTTGAGACCAAAGAAAGCTGCCTCAGAGAATCTAATACCAGAGCATGGATGCAAGCAACCTAGAGCTTCTCCCTCACACTGAGATTCGGTATCGTTTTCTCCATGTTCATGTAAATATTTTATTTGCCATGGCAAATATGTATTAGAAGCTGAGAAGCAACTAGCTTGCTCTTTGTTGTAAACTGTTTAGCTACACAGGTGATGTACAAATGAGACTCACATCTGGGTAAATCGCAATGAAAGGGGGTATTTGTTTTCCTTGGCATTCATGTGTTGGTATTTTCTTTTGGACTATATGTTATGCCTAGGGTTGAAAACTTGAAATGAACAAGTCCATTACCATTTGCTCATTTTGGCATGCTAGCATATTCTACAAAACAATTTTAGACGCTTAAAGAGAATTTACCATGAAATTCAGCTGTTCAGGCTAAGACATAATCTTCAATGGAACGAGGCACATTCTCAAAAATAAAAATAATAATAAAATTTGTGTAAATCTTCTCTTTAGAGAAATAAGAAATTATTTTATAATTTAGACTAAATTAAATTATATAACTGTTATCCTTAAATTTAAATTAAGGGGGCTCCTGACTTAATATTGGCCCTCCTCTCCCGTCCAAAACCGGGGACCCTTAAAAAAAATGCCAAAAATTAAAATAAAAATGAAAAATGAAAAACACACACACCTATTAGGAAGAAGTCATTATTAGCGTGAAAAATTAAATAACCTAAACCAACCGCAGCTTCCACAACTAAACCTAAACCTAAAGAGGCAGCCAGTTGGAGAAACTTCCCATACTATTTTTCAGAAAAAAAATGTTTCTTACTAACTTCTCATGTCAATTTTTTTACAATTTTTTTATGTCAATTTGTTTATTAAATATAAAAAAATAATAAAACAACAAAATTAACTAAAATTATTAACTTTTCCAATGATATTTTTTAATTTTTATACAATATTTTTCAATAATTTTTTTAATTAAAAAAAAAACAAGAAAGTTACCCCCAAACTAAACATGCCCTGCACAAAAAAAATGCGATGGAGGACCGCATCGCAATAAAGTCACCCTTAGGCCTTAGCTAAACATGCCCTAAACATGCTGCGTGAGGGTGGTCCTCCTGACCGCAGCGAGGATTTATCATTCCTTTTTTTTTTTCTTTCATGGGAAGGATTATCATTTACTCATCACCTATTTCCTGGTTTAATTAATGAGATTTCATATACAAAGAGAATATATTCTCTAAACTGAATTCATCGCTGGAGACAGATGGAATCCTTTGTATGCAGAACATATTCAACGCTCATGGCCACTCACTCGTTCATTTCTCCAATCCATACAAAAATTCCTCTTTCCAAATTCACAAACAAACCAGTTTGTTTGCCTCTCATAAATTCTCCTGCTTCAATTGTCATACATAAACCCTCATCGTTTTCCATCCGAGCCACCCTCTCTCCTGGCTCTGCTACTTCAATCCAAGTAGATGAACCCACAATCTCCAGCAAAACGTCCAAAGCTCTGCCCTTTCGTGTGGGACATGGTTTCGACCTTCATCGGTTGGAGCCTGGTTACCCTTTGATCATTGGTGGGATTGATATTCCTCATGACAGAGGCTGTGAGGCTCACTCTGATGGTGATTTCTCTCGACCCTTTGGTCTATTTAGTTCATTCTTTATCTAAATTTTAGGACTTGATTGCTCCTTTGCTTTTTTGTTGTTAGTGTAAAGTTCTTTTGGCAATTAATTGAAATAGAATTCATGGGTTTGATTGATTGAATTCTGAGGATTTGATGGTATTGTTGTTGCAGGGGATGTATTGCTTCATTGTGTAGTTGATGCAATATTGGGTGCTTTGGGGCTTCCTGATATTGGACAGATATTCCCTGATTCTGACCCCAAGTGGAAAGGGGCTCCGTCTTCAGTTTTCATCAAAGAAGCTGTAAGTTTTTGTCCCATGTACTTTTTTGAGAAATACTGCTACGACCTGAATTGTGAGAGGAAAAGAGAGTAATATTAATAATAATATCTTTAGCATAAAAAAAAAAACGTGATAAAAGTAATTTCTAAAGATGATATTGCTGAAAAATTCATTTGTTATTTGAGGTGCACCGCATAAATCCTACATTACGCTAGATCAAAAAAAAAAAAAAAAAGAAAAAAAAAAGAAAAAAAAGAAGAGAAGTCTTACATTGCATGCTTCACCTATGAGTTCTTTGGTGGATTATTCATTTTACTCATGGATAAAAATCCTTTGTCAACGTGAAATTGCGTAAATGGTGCATCTGTTGGATAGAAACATGTGGGCCAAGGCTTAAAAGTTAAAATGGCTATGAATATATGTAAATATTGTAGTAGCATATTTGATTTGATGCCAGAAAGATATATATGCTCTATTTCTTATCAATTCAGATCTTGGAAATCATTAATAAGATTGTTATTTCAGATGAGAAAACGTATCAGTATTCTAGTAATAATCTAGAGATAAACGTATCAGTATTCTAGTAATAATCTTGAGATGCATCAAAATAAAGGCAAACCTTTCTAGTAGGTATAGGTATTTTATCCAGAATCCATATTCCATATGTTAACCCCTCCCCTGATGCCAGTTTTGTTGGTATTGTTCTTCCTTCATCATGTTATGCACACCGGTTCATCCCTGACTCTGCTCAAGTTAGTTGTTTTAAGCTATCGTTTTCAAATATTAAATATGGTTTTGAATCATATTCTACAAGTATGGGAAGGTGTACCATCATGTATCTCATTTAATCTGTTTAAGATTTTACAAATTAGTTGTGTGGTTATTTACTGCAATTTGGTTCATTTCAGGTAAGACTAATGCATGAGGCAGGTTATGAGATTGGAAACTTGGATGCCACCTTAATTCTTCAAAGACCAAAACTCAGCCCTCACAAAGAAGCTATCAGGGCCAACTTGTCTGTGCTGCTGGGAGCTGACCCCTCCATTGTAAATCTCAAGGCAAAGACTCACGAGAAGGTCGACAGCCTCGGAGAAAATCGAAGCATTGCAGCTCACACAGTAATCCTCTTGATGAGAAAGTAATAACTTCACCTTGGATGAGATGATTCTCTTGGCATGTTCCACATTTTAAGCAATTGTTTAGATTGGAATATCAAAATTGAAATTGAGTTCCGGCTGCCAATTGCTTCCAAATTGATCTCCGAGTGTCAAGGAGTTGAATCAAGATTAAAAATATATATGTTCTACCAATATTCAAATAAAGTGCAAAGTGCAAACCAGATTTCTTACTTTCCTGTTAATTTCCTTCTGCAACATTGGACTGGGACTGGTCTGCCTTCACGTTTTTAAATGTATGCAATTCGTCCTTTGTTCTTTGAACCTGAACCATTCCGAGCTTCCCATATAATATAACCATGAGGTAAATGATTATCATGCATTCTTGAAATTATTTTCTTTTTAGCATTGTTGTCCATTATTTTTTTTTTTGAACATTTTGACACGAGGTGGGTTCGAAACCCGCCCAGGAGAAAGGGGAATGCACCTAACAAGCTGACTAATGCCAGTGGACCTCTAGGCCAGGTGCCCCTGTTGTTCATTATTGACAACGTGATAGACAGAAAATTTAATACAACAATGTTTCACTCGTTTAGATTACAAAATTATTGGGATTACAGATGTGCTTGGGATTTCGTTGACCATTTTCCAAGCTGCTCAATGGGATATCATTATTTACGTACTTATCTTATCTTCCTATCTAATTATATTATAAAAGCTATTTAATTTTCAATAAATTTGAAATATATATTTAGTGATCTTTAAAAATTTTCAATAAATTTTTAAATAAATAATAAAAAATACTTCACTAGTCTTTTAAAATTGTTAATAAATATTAAATAGATACCTAATAAATTTTTTTGAAATCTTTAACAAATACTAAGTAAGCACTCAATAAAATTTTTAAAATTCAAACTCAATTATATTTTCAATAATAATATTTCCTTTTAATGCAATTCTACTTCAATCTAACCTCAACTATTTTAATTATATTTTAATATGAACTCAATTATATTTTTAATAATAATTTTTATACGAATTTTCAATATTATATTTTTAATAATAAAGAACAAACACAACCCAATAGAAATTCTAATCATAGTACAATCTTACTATATTATATGAAAATTACTAAAATTTTTAATAAATTTTGAATAAATACTCAATAAACCTTTAAAAGTCTTTAATAAATACTAAATAAATACTTCATAATCATTTTAAAATTTTCAATAAATACTAAATAAATAGTTCATAAAAAAATTAATTATATAACAATATATTGTATTATAAATTTATAATACCATATATAACTATAGCATTTTCATTAGAAATTTAATTCGTTGATATGTAATATTGCAAGATAAAAATTGTTTGCGAATCATTGTTTAGTTTGGGACTGCAATCTGCTAACTGAAATGAAGTTTGACCTTTGGGATCAATCATCAGTGAAAAAAAGGACCTCACATTCCAAATACATGCAATGCATAACTAAAGTACTTTTTGTCGATGCAGGCCTAATATATAGAAAAAGGTAAATGGATCTTTTATATTTGGCTATTGGGACGCGGACTTGAAGCATGCATTCATACATACATACATATCACATGGTAATTATTTGGTCAAGAAAATGTTGTGTTGGGTATGACTGATCAGAACGTACCCCACATGCTGACATTATTATGTAATTTGGGAAGAAGGAATTTTTATCACAGTATCTTCTGAATTTAGTCAGGAATCTAAGCCCTTCAATGTCAACATACGAGGAAGCGATGTTTATCTCAACGCGGAAGCCCATTTACCCTATATAAATACTCACCATGCTTGAACGAAACCCACAGCTTTCATTTGCATCTCAAGCCCACCACCGTCCTTAAAGCTTCAACCTTCCTCTTCTTATAGCTGTTCTTCATATATTCCTCCAAAGTTACAATTTGCTTCTTAATTTTTCAAGCACAAAAGCGAGAAAATATGGCTGCCCAGTTTAGAGATCAAGACCAGCTGCTGTCTAAAATGGCTACAGGTAATGGCCATGGTGAAGATTCTCCTTATTTTGATGGGTGGAAGGCGTATGATAAGGATCCATACCATCCCACCAAGAGACCTAATGGAGTTATACAGATGGGTCTCGCAGAAAATCAGGTAAAGATGGCAGCTTTAATTTTATGTAATTTAAAGCAAGGGTTTATAGAGAGCACAAGACTAACGAACTTTATTCGTTGAATGCAGCTTTGTTTTGATTTGATTCAAGAGTGGCTCATGAAAAACCCAGAAGCCTCCATTTGCACACCAGATGGGGTAGAGAATTTCAATGGTAGAGCCCTCTTTCAGGATTACCATGGGTTGCCAGAGTTCAGAGAGGTTTGGCACTTAGAAATTAATTAAAACCCTTAAAATGTTTCTGTTTTTACCAACAATTTGATTCATCTTGAATATCCTAAATACATAAAAAGGATCATTTTGACTATCCCACAGGCTATTGCAAAATTTATGGGAAAAGTGAGAGGGGGTAGGGTAAAATTTAACCCTGACCGCATTGTCATGAGTGGTGGAGCAACAGGAGCTAGTGAGACGATGGCCTTCTGCTTGGCAGAGCCCGGTGATGCATTCTTGGTTCCTACTCCTTATTATGCAGGGTATGCATCACTTTCCTATACTGTACGTCTTAATTAGTTTTAAACTATATAGTTAAGGTTTCAATGAGAAGGACACTTACAGAAGATGATATTGAGCTTAACTTTGAACTGATCTTGCCCTTTTGGTTTTCACTTCATCAGCTTTTTCCTATATTAGGCATATTATAGTGACCACCCTTGACCTTGGCGGTTTTGGCCCCCACAACTACCCAAATAAAGAAAGGGAAGAAGAAATGACATGGACAACACTAGTAGTAATAAATAAATCTATTTATTTATTTTTTATGAAAAATAAATCTACTAATTAATAGGTGTTAATTTGGTCAAAATTATGTTGGATACATACTCATCACTATCTTTAAAATTATTGAATCAAAATCTTAATTAAGTTTTCGATTTTTTTTTTGGATATGTGCAATCACTACTATGTTGGATATGTATTCGCTACTATCTTCACAATATTCAAAAATAATGATTGAAATTAAACACTATTCTAAAGATCGTAAAGTTCACGTGTCTCAAAAACCTAATATAAAAACTCACCCTCATCCACAAATTCTTGATATATAGTTTGGTATAATTTAAACTAAAAAATAATTTTTCGTTAAGTTTATTAACACAATAACCAAAAACATAATTAGAATGATTAGGGACTTAAATAGCATTTAGTTCTGGTTCTTAATTCATCATTATTTAAGATTTAGTATTTCATTTTACAGATATGATAGAGACTTGAGATGGAGAACGGGAGTCCAACTTGTTCATGTTGTATGTGAGAGTTGCAACAATTTCAAGATCACCAAAAGTGCTTTGGAAGCTGCTTATGAAAATGCAAAGGAAGATAATATCAGAGTGAAGGGCTTGCTGATAACCAATCCATCAAATCCGTTGGGTAATATCTTGGACAGAGAGACACTGAAAGGGATAGTAAGCTTCATAAATGAAAAAAACATCCACCTAGTTTGTGATGAGATTTATGCTGCCACTGTATCCACAAATCAGCCTAATTTTATCAGTGTCTCGGAGGTTATAGAGGAAGACATCGAATGCAATCGTGATCTCATCCACATTATTTATAGTCTTTCAAAGGACATGGGGTTCCCTGGCTTCAGAGTGGGAATTGTCTACTCCTACAATGATGCTGTGGTTAATTGTGCCCGGAAGATGTCCAGCTTCGGACTGGTATCAACTCAGACCCAGCATTTAATTGCATCCATGTTATCTGATGATGAGTTTGTTGATAGGTTCCTTGCAAAAAGCAAAGAGCGAATAGAAACAAGACGTAAGGTCTTCATTCAAGGACTTGCACGGGCAGGAATCAGTTGTTTGGATGGCAATGCTGGCCTGTTTGTATGGATGGATTTGCGTATCCTCCTCAAAGATCGGTCATTTGAAGCTGAAATGGAGCTATGGAAAGTGATAATCAATGAAGTTAAGCTCAATGTTTCCCCCGGTTCTTCTTTTCATTGCTTGGAGCCAGGTTGGTTCAGGGTTTGCTTTGCCAACATGGATCACAACACCATGGAAGTTGCCTTATCAAGAATTAAAACCTTTATGCATCAGATCAAGGATCAGAATAGGGAGGTCAAGGAGCTTGCGAAGAAAACATGCAGGCAAAACAGCCTTAAACTCAGCTTATCTCGAAGAAGGGTGGACGATTTCTTGATGTCACAAATCAGTATGTCCCCTCACTCTCCTATACCTCAATCACCTCTTGTTCCAGCTAGGACTTAGCTTGAGCAGTCCATTGGCAGCGTTAGTTAATTATTGGTAACTAATAGAAGTTTATGCATTCCATCCCACAGAGACAACTCTGGGTTCATGCATCACTATCCATTTGCTTCATTTATTGTACTACTTTTGCCTTTCTTCACAAGCAAAATGCTAGTCGTGAAAGTTTATTTCCTTTCTTCGAAGTGTATTTCTTTTATTAGCCTAATGAAATAATATATGTGTCCATTTTCTTCAGCTGTTGTACAAGGGCTATTCCAATCCAATCAAAATGTCAAACAAAACAACCACATTAGGGTTCAAAAGTACAACTAAAACACCGGACAAATGCACAACTAAGACATGGCAATGACTAATCAAGCATTATCAAACCCTCTATTCCATCACCACATTCAGACATGTCCTTTCTTCGAAGTGTATAATATGAATATAAATGAAGGATTTATGCAGCTAGAGTCCTAAATTTGCAAATTAATGTTGAATCTTAGAACTGTGTTTCGTAAGAGCCTCAAAATACAGAACTGTAGAAACCCCCATGTTATCCCCTACAGTTTCATCTGTTTGTCCTTTTATTCATTTCTTACGTTGCATACACAACTATAATTATAGCAAGTTTGAGATCATCTCTGATCACCTAATGATAGGAACGATGATTAGATTGGTAGCCAGTGGATTAATTTTTTATTCTTGTTGTTGTCATGAACTTCCTGGCATTTAACAAATAACATGTCATTTTCTTTTACATACACCATCAAAAGGGATAGCATGGTGCATGAATTCAGATTATATAATACTATAACAACGGATGATTAGTTAGATTTCTGGTGGCCAAATCCTATGAGAAGACATCTTGTGATATCTATATTCTGGAGAGGTTAGATTCTGATTCAAAGGTAAAGCACGGCTCTGCCTCTAACAAATTTTCCTCCTGTGTTGATTTATACTGACATTTCCACTGAAAAGTAAGAACAAGAACTCAAAATAGAGGCAGTCAGGTTTAGGTTGATTTGAGAAGGAACATGTCATCGGTTTTGATTTCCTCAGTCATTTTCAGACTCTGTAGAATACAGGAGAGGAAGGAATCTCTTACAACTTTGAAGAAGTCATGAAACAATATTGAATGATCTTTTCTTGAGGGAAATTACAACTAACCATGGCACACACAATGCTCTCCAATCAATCTGATCCTTATTTCCATTGGGAACTTGCGGAGTGATGTCTAAAAATAATCACATAAAAATGGTAGGAAAATGCATTAACAAGTGGGTTAGTTAGTTGATTCCTCCTGAATAATCACGCTAAAAAAAAAAACTGGTTATCCAAATAGAAAAAACTAGCCAGCATCATCATTATCATCCTTCTTTGAACCTGGAGATAAAATGTTCAGTATTTGTGTGCACTACAAACTTTCTGATTTGGGAATCATAGCATTATATAACCATTACCATAGTGTTTTTGAAACCTGAATTTATTTAATTAGTTTCTCTGTACTCTATGCAGAACTTCATTGGAGTCTAAACCACACCAATTACAATCATCAATCCCAGTATATATGATCATAGTCTACACTACAAGGAAGAAATGAAATACCTTTTTCTGGGTTTACTTTATGTCCAATATGCTTTAACAACAGCTGATTACATACCAAATCCCTAATTTAGCAAATGGTACAGGCATTTGGGTTCTCCTCTGCACTCATCACATGGTAATATTTAGTGTAGTGAGGATTGTAGTTCTTGTAGGCATTAACAAGATCTTGTATCTGTTGGTTTTGATCTTTTTCTTTCTTCTTGTCATCCTCCTTCTTGGCCTCGTCTTTCTTTTTATCATCCTTTTTCTCTTCTTTTGCAGGTCCTACTGTCTCAATCTGTGTGGACCATTGTTTTCTTAACTTGCTCACCACTTCAACAGGGTCTATGTCTCCGGTCACCGTTAATTTCTTCTCCTTCATGTTCATAGCTATAGAATCGACACCTACAAAGAAATTGAATCAAAGTTATTACATAAAAACAAATAAATAAATCAATAAAAAGAAGAAGAACCTGATAGACAAGAAACTGCTTTCATGGCCTTCTGTTTTCCTTTGTCATCATGTAAATCCAATTTCAGGACAACTTTCTGAAACAAAAGAAAACAACAGTAAAAGACATATCTATGTCCCATACAAGGAAAACATTCCTGTCCATGACTAAGCCCGCAACAGACCCCAGAAAAGAAACTATCTTCTTTCAGTGTCTACACAGTAACTGGTATGATTATCAGCATAGAATCTTCAAGGACAAGTGAAAAACCAACATCATAGCAATCATCAGGATATGACCAAAGCAAGAATCGAAGAAAGAAACCCACATCAGGGATTGATTATTATATATATTCATGATAAGCAGAAAGAAAACCAATAAATTTAGATGTTTCAAGAACACCAATAATTAAAGATAATAAAAAACCAAAGAAAATGATAGGAGAAAAGCTGAGGATGATTCATTTTTTAGAATAAGATTAAGGGAAGAAGCTCCTCACCTTCATTTTTGTGGCTCTGACCAGGGATTGAAGAGAATTAATGTAATAACCACTCAACACGAAATCTGATGAGAGAGAATGCGTGTTGAAGGGAATATAAATGTATACAGATACACAAGGAAGAAAGAAAAGTCTCTATTCTGTTAACTTTTCCTTGTTATGCTAGGTCGAAGGTCAACCAACCCAATTAGTAAATTAATTACCTGAATATGATGTTTGTCTTCCCCTTCCTACCATTCTTCTTCATGCTGATTACAAATCCATTTGATGTATCCATAATCTTTTTAAAATTTTACAATAGTAATAAAAATAAACAATTATTGCTATAAACTAAATGAAGGTGGTTTTATTTAATTAAAATTAAATAGAAACGAGTTAAACAGATAAGTATGAAAGAAATAGATGGGATGATGGTTTTCTCCAACAACGGACCAATCATTCAATGGCGTAGTAGCTAAGAACAAGTCTAATTTCTCCTCCTTGTTTACGATTCATCTTTTTCTGCAGTCGCTTACATCGAACCTTCCTGAAAACCATTGCTTTGTCTTCTTGTACCATGTGGGCAGATGAGTCCATACATGGGGCTGTACTTCTGAAAGGCAGTTGGAAGCCAAGGTACAATCTTAAAATGATAGCAAGAACCATGACTTGGGTTTAGATATTCGGAAGCTGATAATAATTCAATGGCTGTTTGGATGTCTCTTTCACTTTTCATTTTTCATTTTTTTTTTTTTATAATAATCGCACAAATCTTATATTATGTGATTCCCAATTTAAATTAAGACAGAAAGACACAATTCTACCAGAATCCTTTTACAGAAATAAAGAGCTAGGTTAATAGGACAACAAACTTATTTCATGATCTTTAATGATTCCCTGGTTGAACCAGATATGGTTCATTTCTGAAGGGGCTCACCTGTTATTGTTTGGGAAGCATCATCTTGCACTAAGAGCCTCGCTCTGGTGGCCACTTTCCACATGTTGCGAGTCAGAAAAGACACAGAGCAGATGTATCGTTTTGTTAATTTACTCAACAGAAAGTGATATTAAATTGGCATAAAATAATGGCAATAATCAAATGTTCAACTAAAAGACTAATCAAGTGTGGTACAAAAAGACAAAGTGGATGATTCAATTATTACAAGATTTAGATGCCTTAATGCTCCCAAAAGAACTCTTATCCCTCCATGCTGCTTTATTGTACAGGAAAATTATTGCATAGCATGGGAAAAGTCTGAAGACTGGAAATTTTCAGTTCAGGATTATTGAAAATCTGTGCATGGAGCTGTTTTCTTGTGTACTGATTGGGGAATTTTCGTTTTGCCTGCACGTCCAACTAAACTGCCTGCTTAACCTGTAGCGCGGCTTTGGCAATTTCTAATGCCTCCTCAACTGAAGATGCCTTCTGTAGCTTCGTTTTGTCAATGGAAGGTTGGCTTCTTGCCAGTGCAGGGAGAAGTTGAAATTCCTGTAACATTTACAAACTACCGTGAGTTTTTTTAGTCTAGTAAGCAAAGTGTAGGATAAAACAGCAGAAAGTATGCAGGAAACGTGAGGGAAAGCTAAAAAAAAATCAATAACTCCACTTGTTGGGGAGGCTCCGGCAATTTCTAATGCCTTCTTATATTCTCATGATACCCCATCAATAACCCAGGAACAGCAGGCAGTGCATCAAACCCATTTTTTAACCTATTAATCAACCTAAAACATAGTTCTTGATCAGGATTATTTTTTCCATCTCTAAGTATTAGTTGTATGTTGTACACATCGTGTAAGTATGAATATCTCCAAGTCTCTTCCTAATGCTTTCAGCATCCTTCAAATATATCTCAGCCTTCTGTCAGAGACACCTAATATTTTCACATTCTTCACATCAGCAAATCCGATTACTGATCAACAATGCCTTCTATCTCTTATTCTCTTCTTACACAGTTATATCACACAGTCAAAAACAAACAGGGTAACAAAATTTTGGAAAGATCAGGTACCTCAGCACTTCCACTTTCAAGAAGAACTCCTTTCAATTTTCCTGCGAGTAGCAACAAGAACAATTAATCCCTTTCTTTTTTCTAACAAAAAGGAAAATAGAAGGAGAGAGAAGGGGGAGTGCTTCTTAAAAGTTCAATTACCAGAATCTATCCAGAAAGTAGCAATTTTTGGATCAAAATTCCCTATCTCAACCGTCTCTCCAACTGCCCAAAGGATTATCATTGTCAATACTACACTCAAAAAAAAAAAAAAAAAACGTGAATAAGTACAATTCTTGTGTGAGAGATCCTACCATTGTCCCCAAAAAATTGCCACCACACTTTCCTGGGACTCCCTTCATACTCAAAAACCCTTGAGTAAAAATATGGCAGATAATCATACCTGGAGATTAACTAGTTAAGCAATAGTCAACAAGGATGTTTCAGAAAGGAAGATAAACATTCAAAGTATCTAAAGACCTAGAAATTATGCCATTATTGAAGAGACAATATAGACACCAACGTACGTGTGAGTCTGTGCACTTAGTAATGCCTTAACACAATGCTGTGCAGATCGACGAGCATGATCTACATGTTCAACTCGTGCTATGCGGTCATATATCTGTTCACAATAAAATGCATCTACTATTAGATTATGGAAGGATGACTTGTTCTTGATTTGATAAAAGTATATACCTTCAATGGAAATGCTGCTACATCTCCAATTGCAAAAATTCCAGGTATATTAGTGCGGAACAGACCATCAACCTGACTCATGTACAGTCATTATATCTCTATATATCCCAAACTCTTAAGAGTCAATAGAGTTAAAAATCTAATTTTGTAACTTAGCAACAGAGAAATTATTGACAATGCTCACCTGTATGCCACCAACAGTAGTATTTAATCCCACATGTTCAAAAGGACTAACAGCTGGCTTTGCTCCAATGCCAACAACTACCTGGACAAAAGGGAAATATCAGGGAAGTGGCTGGATTTGTCCATTTTGTTAATCCTCTGGCCTCTATCTTGTTAGGAAATGCCAAACAAAGTTATAATTGGAGCAAAAGGTTACCGTGTCTGCTTCTATGGTGGATCCATCTTCAAGTTTAAGAGCAGCTACATGTCCATCAGGACCAGCTTCTAAGTTTTTGATTGATACACCCTGATTGAAAGAAAATCAAAATTCTGAGTACAAATGAACATTATTCTGGTGTCTACTAGCTACACAAACACACAGTTTTGTGTAAACAGGATCTGCAGTTTGCCAGATAGCAGGCAGGCAGGCAGGCAGGCAGGCAGGAGAGAGAGAGAGAGTGTGTGAATGTGTTTGATAGAGCGACAGAAGTGAGGGGGAAAGTACCGTTAAAAATTTGACACCATTCTCTTTGTAAAGTTCTTCATACCTCCTAGCCAGGGATGGAGTGAATAATCTTTGCAAAAGATGATTTTCTGGAAAAATGATCTATATTTGGAATAAAAGGAATATGAATTAGATCTTAAACAATGATTGAACTATCCTCATTTACCAGAAGATAAAAAATAAAATGGACTCATACCGTTGTATCAAGTTTCCAACCCACTGCTGCTGCAGCAACCTCCATCCCAATATAACCACCACCAATGACAACAACTTTCTTTGCCTTCTCCTAAATAATTAAAAGGAAATTTTCTATTAGAAGTTTAGAACAACAAATGTTGGTCTACAAACCACTTCATTAAGCATCCTTAAAGTAATACCATACTGGTGTATTTATTGTGGCCTGTATAATTGATTTTTCTTAAGGAATAATTCAACCAACTTGTCAAAACAATCAATCAGAACTAGCTTTTACTCAGGCAGAGCGCAAAGTTTAAACTTATGCGTGCATAATACTTAAAATTCTCTTCAGCTGAATTTTAAAAGAGGAGAAGAAAATGTAATAGCTTAATGGGAGGCTCCAAAGTAACAATGTAAAGAGATTTTAAAATAAAAACTATGAACAGAGAAATTAAAACTACCAGAGATGAGATTAGGGAGTCAGCATCTGCAATGTCCCGGATATAGTGGACACCTGGTAGGTTTCCTCCAATTTTTTCAGGAAATCTGAACCAAAATAGTTTAAAACATCAGTTTTCTTTTCTAAATTCTTTCACCAATCACCATTTTATGTCTACAGTCTATAAGCATTAAGTAGACAATCATATTATTAATAGGCAAATTAAGCAGACTGACAGGAATACCTTGAGGTTGTGCATCCTGTAGCAACTATAAGAGATCCATACTTCAGCAGTTTGCCAGAATTTGTGGTTAGAGTTTGCTTTTCAATATCAATACTTGTTACAGGATCCTCATAAATCATCTAAACAATGAAGAATGCAGAGAAGCTCAGAAAAACATTTCATAAATGATCAGCAACCATTCATTATTAGAGCCTTAAACTAGAGTGACCTTCACCAACTTCTACGCATGCAAGATCACTCGGCGTCAATTAAAAAGGAGCGCACAATGGTACCTCGATCCCCTTCTCCTTATACCAATCAGGAGTTTGCCTCTCACCACCAGAACCAACACAAGTATGAAAACCCTTCACGAATTTGAAACCAGAACAAAATATATCAGGACAAAAAAACAAATTACATATAGGAAGCTTGAATATAAGAAGCTTAGTAAATAAAAAGTCTCTACCATCAACAACCTAAAATTTACAACAAATTCCAACTCAAAATCGCATAATCCAAGACAAAAGAGAATAGTGCAGATGACTTTAACTAGCAGGCACAATCTCATAAATGCAATGATATCCAGAAAAATCTACCTCATTTGCAAACAGCAAGTAGCATATTGTTAATATAGAAAGAACAAATATAGCAACATAAAGATGAGATTTACAGGTAAGCGAGCTGGCTTCTTGTCCAGAGGAAACAGATATGCCTTTGTCAAAGCAGGTCTTTCATATGGCGCATGTGGCTGCAGAGAGGAACACAAACACCATAAAACAGTGAAACTTCTTCAATTCAAAAGCACCAGTAAAGAAAGAACCAAATATCAGTCGAAAATGCCAAAAATATATCCATAGAGTCACCTCTTTCGTCACAATACAGAGCCTGCCATCAGCCATACCATGTTCGACGAAACTCCTCGCTGCATATCCCGCGGCATTGCCTCCTCCAACAATCACATACCTACCAGAGAAATAATGAATCAACAAGTCAAATTCAACTAAATTAAGCAAACATCAAACACTGATTCTCACAAACCAAAACTTACTCTCGATTGTCGTTGTCAAAAGAAGCGGACGCACTGACAAACCGTCTGCGGAAGCTCGTGAATCCGAATGAAGTGGAGGCGGTGGGCGGAGACAGAAAAGAGGATTGACGGCACCCGAGGGAGAGGCCGTGGTTGAGATGGAGCGAGTTGGATAAGGTCGCCATTGCTCTCAAAACTGTAAAAACGAGAGAAACAAAGAGGGAAAATCAAAGGAACAGATTGGGGATGAAATGAATCGAGGTGATGAGGAGAAATCAGGAGCTGCTTCTGGTCTGTGCTTAGGAGAAGAAGGGAAGGAGAGAACTGACCTTGTGACATTTTAATTGAATAAATTATTGAGGAGAGATTCTGGCTCTAAAAGAAAGCCAAGGGTCGTTAACTTAAAACGACTCTAGCGTCTGCAGCGTGCAGGGAAGAGTTTCGCCATTCGAGGAACTTGGCCGAGAAAAGGGCAAAATAATTATGTTAATTTTATTTTTTTTATTTAAAAATATTAATTTTGTTAATTTTAAAGTAATGATGTTAGTTTTAAATTTTTTTAATGGTATTAATTTTTAATTTTTATTTAAAAATTAATTAGATGATAATAATAATATAATAAAAAAATTTAATTAAAATATTAAAAGTTAATATTTTTAATAAAAAAATTAAAAATTGAAATATTTATTTAAAAATTAATAAAATTAATATTTTTAAATAAAAAAAATACAAATTTCACGTGTTTATTTACGTCATTTCTCGATCTGTGCTGAGTCTGTTGGGACTTAATGGAACAAAATCATTAATAAAGTGCGTGAAACGTCGTCGGTCACAATTCCTTTCTTTGCATTTTTTTTCTTATCTTTAAAGAGAATATCTTTGTGTGTCCTTGTAGCATTGGATATTTGGATAAAAGGGA